TTAAGTATCCAGCACTGTGTCTGCCAACACTATGAGGCACAAAAAAACGCTGGCAAAGTCGGCTAGCGTGGGGAATGGCATTGTATCCAACAAAGCATGGTAAATAAATGTGAATGACCAAAGGTGCAACAGTAAAGACAGCAAGATTAAACAAATGGGGGTTGACAATGAATATTAAAGAATCAATGCCTCAAGTCTATCTGCCAAGCTGTCGGGACTGCTGCTATCAACTTTGGGTTGTGTCTCACTGTGGGCTGCCAAGTCCTCAAGTTCGATGGTTCTATGACCGGGCGTTGTGCAAACTAAGCCTCCCAGCACTACGCCCACCGATGAAGATGTGGGGCATGCTGGTCCGCCTTGGAAAGGCCCTCCTCACCTCCCATCAAAGATTGCATCAACCAATCTAACATAATCTAGCCAACCAAGGTCCCAGCCGAGGTGTTTCTTAATCCATGACGGTCTTGCGAAGTGGTAAAAGCACACTTGATTCAGGTTGCACTGACAGCTGCATACCATGGGAGCCTAGCCTGACAGTTCTCTGTCTAAATGTCCAATCACCGCGTAAAGCTGCTATGCAGCTAGTACGGTGCAGTGATAGTCACACAGGATGGCTCTTGCATGGTTCTGGGGCTTAGGAGATAGCCTTTGCCATGTGGATGAATCAAAACCTCAAGTGAAAGTGTCTGGTATCATTGGAAAGGTTTAGACCTCTTGGTCAAAAAAACAGTCCATTCTGCTCTCATCCGAGACACCCGTAGAGATTCCCGAGCCTTGGTCAAACAATTAGGTTCAATTCTACGATCCTGCAGGGCACACTGGGCAATGCACCAGTTGCAATGCACCAATCCAATCAATGTTGACGAAGGGTTTGCCATGCCATGCAGCAGCACTTGTCCATGCTTCTATGTTTCCCTTCTGTCATGAAGCACGCGGTGGTAGAGGAAACATGATTGCGATCAGCTTTCAATTCTCCGAGACTGGCAAGCAAGCGCAAATGTCCGTTTTGCAATATATGTGTTTTTTGAAAAGTCTGCAGCTCCACACGTTCCACACTTCCACAGCTCCTAGGCACCCCACTCTGCCCGCTTTGCTGCCTGCTGAGGCGACGCTAGGAACCATTCAGCGCCCAGCGACACCTGCATCAAACGTTGCACTGCCGAAACGAAGGCACCCCATCCGCAGAAGAATCGGCAGGTACAAGTAGTCGTGAGTTGCACACTGGGAGCAGGTGTTGAAAGCTCCTCTTGTGATGAAATACCGAGCCTCTAGGTCCAAACAGCTGAAGGACCTCAGGACCTCACCTCACTGGTCCTGTGGACCCAAAACCCCCCTCATCCCCCCTCCCATCCGTCACCGAGCCCACCTCTCTGTAGTCTGCCCCCATGGAATCCAAGACCTTCTTGGCCTCTCGGATCTCATGAAAACACGACACGATCTCGACACGCAATCCCAACGTCGCGACCGTCGTTACTGCGCCGTCGTCGCGCCGTGGAAAAACGAAAGACCTCCAGCGACGTTTTTGGCCAAAGGGAGATCAATGTCTTTGACACTAAATTAGATCACCGGGAAGCCATGTGAAGAACATCCCACAGCTCTGCAACTCAGTTACTGCGCGTCTAGACACACATCAAGAGGCGCCTCTGCCGAAAAGGGGGACCAGTCGTAGGTGTAGATCACCACAGGCGCCTGTCATACGGAACTTGAATGGACAAACTCCGCCTCCAGCACTTTGGAACTGGCAAAATATGCAAATCACTGTCTGGGATAGGAACCCGTTGTGAAAACACAGCCCACCCCAGTCTTCATACTGTGGGGCACCCAAATGTTTGACAAACCAAATTACAATTTCCACAGCAAGAACCTCTTGACATTGAGTTCTGTAATGCTATGGACAAAAGGTTCAGTGCATGGCATAAAAAGACAACTATGTTTTACAAGGCCGCCCCGGAAACTAAGCAAGAATGAGCAAATGCTTTTGAGAAGCCATCAGTTGCCTCTCACATCTGATCTGCTGCATCATAGGTTGGCCCAAGGCTCTTTCTCTCTCTCTCTCTCTCTCTATCTCTCTCTCTCTCTCTCTCTCTTGCGTGTTTGATCAGATAAACCTTGAAGCTGTAAACAATACCCTTGGCCACTCTGAACTAAACTGAACTGCAGGTTTAAGCGTGGCAGGCAAGGCTGACTTGATTTCCTTGGATGCAAGGGAAAAGTTCACAAAAACCGGGAAGACCTGAGGGAATAAAGCTCACTGTGTGCGAGAGGTCTTGCCAAAATCTGCATCAAGGGACTCGGAGCAAGGGGAGTCCCAAAGAAGGGGCAAGAGCGTCCAAGAGCTGCTCACAGAACCAGCCCTACCTCGTGTGGCCCTACCAGAGAAACGTGGCTCACAGAGGAAACGGTGGCGGTTGGTCCAGAACCAGCCCTACCTCTCGTGGGCTCCGCGTCAAGACTCCTCAGAGTCGAAAACGGGCTTTCCGCCCGTTTCCCGTCCGGAGTGTGAGTCGGATGTGGATGCCAAGACCCCCTTCGTTGCAATACAAGAAGACCCGGGCGAGGCGAGACTAGAGACTATAGTGCACTGATAGTGGACATGGCCTTTGGACGTGGCTCCATGATTGACCAAGTGGTGTAGGTGAAAAACCATGGCCTTTGGACGAATTGTCCACTCTGAGAGTCTTCCTCGATCTCTTTCCGCACATCCCACTTGTCGTATCGCCCCGCTTGAACGGAGGCCTCAACGGGTGGTTCTGAAAGAGGCTGAAATGATCTCACTTTATTGGAGTGTTCTGAATTCTAGTTCTGAATGGCAACCACCGTTTTTGTTGACAAATTTTAGCTTCAACAGTAGTGTCCAGCATTGCATCTGCATGGCCAAGATGTCCACGAGAGAGAGAGAGAGAGAATCTCCAGTGTGGCAGGAGAAAACCGTCATCCTGGGCCGTTGCCTGCACCTGGAAGAAGGGCTTTAATGCGCCCATGGCGAAGCTTGCGACCTTCAAGGGAATGTACCTGGCACAGGCGGCGCAGACCGCTGTGAGCGACATATCAACATCAATCAGTCCGCTGGTTGAGTCCAATACAAGAAGTTGCCAGTTGCGATCGCCATTTGGGTCAGTCCGAAGCCAATTCGTATCTGCTCTGCTGTCATCAGGATTCCACCCCCACATCCCAAATCCGGCAAGCCGTGCTGTGCTCCATCAACTTCTATCTCTGTGCTCCTGCACTGGAGGTGCTGAGGCCCCAAAAACTACCACCCTCTCCCAAAGAAAGGAAACTTACATCAGCCTCTCTAGAAGCACCTGTCAAATCCCTTTTAAAAGAAACAACTTGACTCGAGCGGAGCTGCTTCAGGAATATCGACTCTCCATGTCTTTCAGTAGCGGTCAACGGATTCTCAAGAATCGCACGCACGAAACAAAAAAAACACAGTGAATATGAGGATGATCAAAGCAACATGCCAAGAACAAGGAGCACCTCTCTCTCTCTCTCTCGCTCGATTTCAGGCTCTCGAGCCTCGCAGGAGGCGGCGGGGTGCTGAAGTTCCTCAGGAGAAGAGACCGGTCTCGGAGATGTTCTCGACTTAATCTAAATAAAGCAGTCCATGTTTGCCAAATCCTTCAGCCTCTTTCCCCCTCATGCATGTTACGCATTGAAGAAGCCAACGGTTCAAGTAGAACCAATCGATGAAGGCTGCCACTCTCAAGGTACATTGTCTGAGTGCACCAGGCACGAAGCCCAGGAAAAAGGGCAGCACAATGACACAGGCCTCAACAGTCTCAACAGGAATGGCAAGGTCTGTAAGCTCCGTCGCAAGCGTGGAATACATAAAAATTCCATTCACCATGATCGCTTCAAGATTAGCTTCTCACATGCAATGGAGACAATAAATCAAGAACACTTGGGTCACAACCGCGTCCCCGACTAATGAATGTGAACGATCGAAGAGTGAAGGTACGCCAATAAAGAAAGTGCCACACAAAGGCACGAAACCTTCCACAACAACTCTTATGAGCAAGGTCAAGTCTTGCCGTCCAACCAACAAGTGAGACCACTCATTCCTTGGTCCTGCCACTTTCATCTGGCCGTATGACCATCAGTGTCAGGTTTACAGGTCCGTTGCATTCTATAGATTCTATAGTTGTTCAGAGTTCATAAAGAACATCTTCCAAAACCCCCATCCAGGTGAGCTTACAATCCATCTTGGAACCCAAACCCCCAGCTGCGCTCGCATGGCCTGGACGGCGACGGCGAGAAGAAGTGTTACGTGGAGTGTTCGAAGGGACACCAACCAATGGGCTTGTTTTGGTGTGTATGGAATCACCCAGAACTCGGAAATCTTCTTTCAAAACACAAAGTGACACAAAGCACCCAGAATCCGGACTGCAGGCTGATCATAGGCTGATCACGTGACTTGCACATGACATCAGATTCACGTGATTTAGAAAGGAAGCAGGAATCAACTGCAAGGTGAGAGCCTGAAATCAGTGTTATGTCCGGTATCATGCAGGAAGAATCTACAAGTCCTTGCAGCTCAGGTGCGGTGGTGAACCGCTGGCCGTCGCCCCGTCGACGCACAGACCGTCTCCAAGGCCGACGCACCGCCCGCGCCCGCGCCGACGCGACGCCCGGGTCCGAGCTGGCGCGGCACTGTCCGCTCAAAAGGGATGTGATGATGTGGGTCCTTTGGGGGAAAACGTCGTCGAGAGTCCACGTCATGTTCTGCAACTTACTAGGCCTATTTGAGGTGAAAACTGGATGATGTCCAGTATAAAACGAAGAGTTGTCTGAGAAAGAGGGACTGACCAAGGAGTCAACAGCTGCTTGATGCGTGCTTGACTCTAACAAGACTATATCCAACATATCGGGTCGAAGGTGCTTCTAGCTTCTAGCTTCTTCTTTATAATCATGGTGACATGTGGCATTTACAACTTCTGTATGTAGGATTGGGTCTTCAAGTGCACGTCCACGGCATCTTTCTCCAACGCAACTCGTGGTGTCTGCCTTTCAACAGACCGTCAGAGTTGGATTGTGTCAGACAGGAGCTGCAGCACCCTGTTTTGGATGCGCAGGACCCTCTACACTTACTACTCACCACACTCAAAGTTGACCTCAAGAGAGATCATCGAGGTGCTTGGCAGCCTTTATTGAAACTGTAAACTGACCAACCAGTGGACATGCGAACCAACAATCTTTGAGCAAAAGAACCGGGGATCGTAGTGCAATCGTGAAGAACCTGTGAGTGCATCCTGAGTCACTTGCCAGCTTCAATCCTGCTATCAAAGGGACTCAGCCTAGCCAAGGTCATGTCTAGCAGCCAGGGTTCTCCACCAGTTCCCAGCAGCTTCTCAGGTGCTGAACGTGGTCCAATCTTTTACCCAATGGCAGTGGCCCCAACCCCCACCCCGCCGGGCCCCGCCTCTCCACGTTTCCGTCTCTGAGCCGCAGACCGTGGAAACCCAGAAGCAATGAGACCAGCGCGACCGGCACCATCGCCAAAGGCCGGGCTTCGCCGTTCCAGTGAATGATCTTCTCCTGGGCCGGGCTTCCGGGCTCCGGAGACGGAAATGGGTCGAATCGGAGTTCGTTTCGCCAAACTCCCAAGCCAATGGGTTTGTTGCGTGTCTTCTTTTCATTTATATAAGCTTTTAGTAATTTAGGGGGGGTCCTCTCGTTTTTGAGGGATAGAAAGGCTGGGTATCCCAAACTAACCTTCAAAAGCTGTGATTGTGAAAAATGGCTGGTACCCGCGCAAGTGTGGCTGCAATTGTTGTTTTCAGGCCAAGCCTAGCAAATACCAACAGGTCGATGTGATGCTGTACGCCAGGATAGCACATGCTGCGATTGAAAGCATCAAAGGCAAGACCTTCTTATTGTGGCTGATGTTTTGTAGAAATCCATTTTGTTTAGTAATACCTTAGTCATCCTTGATTTGATCCACCTCCACAGCTTAAAATGGCCTCGATCCGCTTCAGGTCACTATTGAGTCCGTTCAGCTTGACAATGGCCGCCTGGCGCAGCGCTGGGTCGGATGTTTCGACTGACTTGGGGCTGCTCCAGGAACAGTTAAGAAGGACATTCTAACTATAACCAACACCTAGCTTGGAGAAGCACAAAAATACATGGATGATGCCCGCGTCAAACTGGAAACACTGCAGTCTTCAGTAGATCGGTAGACTTCAAACCTACTTCATGTCAATGCCCACCAAAACCATCAAACCAAATTTGGTGACGGAATTCATTGCTATTGGCTATGTGTGAATGGACGCCTTAAGCCTAAGATGGTCTTTGTCTTGGGACATGTCCCATTGAAAGCCCAATCATGGTTTTCAAGTCAGAGCATGCCAGCATTTGGTCTATGGAGTCAGTCTCTTCATGAGTTCTAGTGCCTTGAACCGAGGAACATCATTTCGACAAAGTGCCTGAACATTCGTGAATGCCCCCAGCCGTGTCGCAATACCGATCCCGATCCTTGCAATAGCTTGCAGTCAGCTGCAGCTACAGCTGCATGACCCAATAGCTTCTGCCCCATGAGTAGTATGTAGCATTTACCAGGTATCCCAAACATATGGTATCTTGCTATTAGTGGCAAACCGAAAAAACTGGATGATCTTGATCAAATCCAAAGGCCTGCAAGGCAGAGTCGTCGCCCGTGAGCTTGATCTGGCAGGTTTCCCGGTCCGTCGGGATCCCAATGGCTGGGTGGGTGGATGAGAATCCCTTTTGAATCCCTCTCATCATTGCAAAAAGGATCTAAGGAAACCACTGCTCTATGAAAATCAGGATAACAAACAAACAAACAAACAAACAAATAAACAGAGACTTCTGTAGTCAACACCTGCCCAAACAATACTGTAATCCTTGATGTTTTGGTGGGCAAAAAGCCGGGAAGTGAACTCTCAACTCGGAACGCCCCACGTCACATTCACGTGACATACTACGCCAACTCCACTGGCCCCCAGCAAGCACACTGCAAATGCCGTGATCCAAACAGAACTTTGCAATGCGCCAAAACCCAGCAACCCTGGAATGTCCAACCCATAAGTTCCACGGTTTGCTAGGTTTTGACCCATGCCCAGGTTGTCAAAGTGAAGCCCTGTGGCCCCAGGTTGCCGGCCCGTCGCATCATCTCAGCCGTTGATCAATGATAACTCAACCATCTGTTATGTTTTCCTAAAAATCTAGGAACCAAATTAATGGTGCGAGCACTATCCTGCGTCCTAAGCAGTAGCTTACTTGTAGGTACTACTGTAGCTACCTATCTAGCTACTAGCTACCTCTAGCGGCCTATCCGCCCGCCGAAAGAGGAATTTAACAAGATGGAGCCCACGAACCCGAATGCAAACACGTTCGAAAAGCTATATACATATGTCCAACTGACACTCTTGTAGGACACTCTTGTGGGAAACTCTTGTGGGACACTGTTGTAGGATACTCTTGTGGGTCACTCTTGTAGGACACTCTTGTGGAGCACTCTTAGAGGACACTCTTGCGGGACACTCCTGTGGGACACTCTTGTAGGACACTCTTGTGCGATACTCTTGTAGGACACTCTTGTGGGACACTCTCTCTCTTGTAGGACACTCTTGTGGGTCACTCTTATGGGACACTCTCTTGTGAGACACTCTTGTAGGACACTCTTGTGGGTCACTCTTACACGACACTCTTGTAGGACACTCCTTGTGGGACACTCTTGTAGGAAACTCTTGTGGGATACTCTTGTGGGACACTCTTGTGGGACACTCTTGTAGGACACTCTTGTGGGACACTCTTGTGGGACACTCTTGTAGGACACTCTTGTGGGACACTCCTTGTGGGACACTCTTGTAGGAAACTCTTGTGGGACACTCTTGTAGGACACTCTTGTGGGACACTCTTATGGGACACTCTTGTGGGTCACTCTTGCGGGACACTCTCATAGGACACTCTTGTAGGACACGTTTGTGGGACAATCTTGCGGGACACTCTTGTGGGACACTCTTGTAGGACACTCTTGCGGGACACTCTTGTGGGGCACTCTTGTGGGACACTCTTGTAGGAAACTCTTGTGGGGCACTCTTGTAGGACACTCTTGGGGGACACTCTTATAGGACACTCTTGTGGGACACTCTTCTGGGACACTCTTGTAGGACACCCTCGTGGGACACTCTTGTGGGACACTCTTGTAGGACACTCTTGTAGGACACTTTGTGGGACACTCTTGTAGGAAACTCTTGTGGGATACTCTTGTAGGGCACTCTTAAGGGACACTCTTGTGGGACACTCTTGCGGGACACTCTTGTGGGTCACTTGCAGGACACTCTTGTGGGACACTCTTGCGGGACACTCTTGTAGGACACTCTTGTAGGACACTCTTGTGGGACACTCTTGTGGGACACTCTTGTAGGAAACTCTTGTGGGACACTCTTGTAGGACACTCTTGTGGGACACTCTTGCGGGACTCTCTTGTAGGAAATTCTTGTGGGATACTCTTGCGGGTCACTCTTACACGACGCTCTTGTAGGACACTCTTTGTGGGACACTCTCATAGGACACTCTTGTGGGTCACTCTTATTGGACACTCTTGTCGGACATTCTTGTGAAACACTCTTATAGGACACTCTTGTGGGTCACTCTTATGGGACACTCTTGTCGGACATTCTTGCGAAACACTCTTATAGGACACTCTTGTGGGTCACTCTTGTGGGACACTCTTGTCGGACATTCTTGTGGGACACTCTTGTGAGACACTCTTGCAGGACACTCTTGTAGGACACTCTTGTAGGACACTCTTGTGGGACACTCTTGTGGGACACTCTTGTGGGACACTCTGGTGTGACACTCTTGTAGGAAACTCTTGTGGGACACTCTTGTAGGACACTCTTGTGTGACACTCTTGTAGGACACTCTTGTGGGACACTCTTGTAGGACACTCTGGTGGGACACTCTTGCGGGACACTCTTGTGGGACACTCTTGTAGGACACTCTTGTAGGACACTCTTGTGGGACACTCTTGTGGGACACTCTTGTGGGTCACTCTTACACGACACACTTGTAGGACACTCCTTGTGGGACACTCTTGTAGGAAACTCTGGTGGGACACTCTTGTAGGACACTCTTGTGGGACACTCTTATAGGACACTCTTGTGGGACACTCTTCTGGGACACTCTTGTAGGACACTCTTGTGGGACACTCTTGTGGGACACTCTTGTAGGACACTCTTAACATCTTGTGGCGCACTAGAAGCAGTCCTGCGAGCGTTTCGTACGAGACGTCCTCCAAAAGTCACGCTTCGAGGCTGCAAGACGAGCGTTTCGTACGAGACTTCCTCCAAAAGTCACGCGTCAAGTCTCCAAAACGAGCGCTTCGTACGAGACTTCCTCCAAAAGTCACACGTCAAGTCTCCAAAACGAGCGTTTCGTATGAGACTTCCTCCAAAAGTCACGTGTCAAGTCTCCAAAACGAGCGTTTCGTACGAGACTTCCTACAAAACTCACATGTCAAAGTCTGCAAAACGAGCACTTTGTACGAGACTTCCTCCAAAAGTCAAGCGGAAACACCCATCGGAGCACACACATCACGCAGCCCTGCCAAGCAGTTTCGCGAGTCCAGCCCCTCCAAACAATACCCGCTCACACGCCAATCCCAATGTGACAGCGACATTCACCTCTACCACAACTCACGACCTCACGATTCCCTGCGCCTGCCACGAATCTTTCCGCATCCACACGTCTAACGCACAAAGTACTGCGCCTGCCACGAAATGTCACCTCCGTCACACCTCGCAACCTCACGATTTCCTGCGCCTGCCACGAAAATCGCACTTCCACACCTCAAAATCCGCACAAAGTACTGCGCCTGCCACGAAAAGTGACAATATCATCTCACGTGAGCTTCAACAAAATTTGCACCACACCACACGTTTGGAATGATTTCGACCCGTTCTGAGCACACTCCTATCCACCAAAATCGCCATTTCAGCTGAGACTTGTCACGAAAACAAAGCTTCGGTGCCACACCCTG